CACTCATTAATCGAAATTTCTCCAAATTTATTTTCCATTGAAGTCACAATCGTCACCATATTGATGCACATTCCATCCTTGTTACATGAGAAACTTGGCCTTGCGTCTGCCGTTCTTCGTCCTGTTGTTTTGATTTGCGCACATCCCTCCTAGCTAGCACTCCTTCCGTTAAGTCTTTTCAACTTTCAAATTTGTCTTTTGCTCTTAATAGTGCGTTTTTTTTATCTGTTGTGGAAAGATGTCATGGAAAGAGATTAAGGTAGTGGTTGGTGGTGTTTTAATTGGAGATTTTTTTTTGAAAAAATAAATTTGTTTTAATTTTGTTGAATATTTTTTTGATTAGTTTGATGTGTTGATATTAAAAATAAATTTTTAAAAATAACAAAATATTATTTTAATATATTTATATGTAAAATAATTTAAAAATAATTATTGTGTTAAAAAAATTAATTCAACCCAAAAATCTAATCTAAACTTCTAGGTGAGATCGCAAAATATTATTTTTATTATTTTTTGATATATTTTTTAAAAAATTTTAGATTTGAAACTTAGACAAACTTACACTATTTTATTTTTGTTTTTATTAAATAAATTAGAATGACAAGATTTAAACTCGTAACTATTTGATTAAAAAGATTCTAATATCATATCAAAAAATCAATTTAATCTAAAAATTTAAATTTTAAAATATAAATTTATATTATATTATCTACTACATTTACATTTATTAAACACCTCCCTATATATTAAAGATAATCATAATGTTCAAGGTAGCGTAATTAAAGATTAAAGATTCTCCCTGCATGATTTACCCTTAAACTAATTAATCCAAAGGGTGCTGCGGTAATAAGGCAACTGTTTCTTTCTCACCTAACGAGCATCTCAATTTTTTATACACGTCTCTTAAGATGATACCATTATCACGCCTCCTGTGGCCATTGATCAGCATCTCTGTCGTTTTTTTCAAACATCGGGCTAACGTGAGTTTTGGGATCTATGAGGCTAAGGTAAACAATCAATATCCAGTAAGAAATCAGTGGATGCTTACTAATCTGGATTGATTCAGAGATGACCTAATTAATGCATAATCTGGTGAATACTGATGATATCCCATATACAATTATTCGAACATCACTTGGCGAGAATGGGTTTTTGTGTTCACGTTTTCACATGAATGCTACACATGACAAGTAAAATATTTCATTAGCATTATTTCTGACGAGTAAAAATTAAATATAATTTAAGATGGATGATGGCCACCATGCCTGACATGGAAAGCTTTCTAGGTAAAGAAGACCAGGTCACAGACAAAACAAAACCCTAAAAGATTGTTGATTAAAGACACTAACAAAGAACGAAAACAGCTTTCTCATGATCAATGGTGGAAACCCTAATCAGGCCGTGAGCACCACGGAAAACAACCACAAACAAGTTGTCGCTATCGTGGTTTTTGCCCAGGATGTTCACGAGTGAAATTTTGAAAAAAAAACTTGTTAATCTTTGCCTTGACAGGGGTGACCTACCTTCTGATATGATTCCTGAGATATTTTTTATTACTCTATGCAAGTCCGAGGCGGAGATTGGAATTTGCGGTTCATATAACGGACACCTGGCATCAAGAGGTCAATTTAGTTGACCAATCAAGAGAGTTTATAAGTGGTTTGGCTAGCTGGATCAACAAACACGCTTACGCCAACCTTTTTTTTCTACTATGGGAAGCTGTGGGCTGAGCTGTATGGAGTGGGATCGAACATCTAGGTGTTTTTGGAGGGCAGACAAAGCTACACGTATGAGCGTCATGCTGCGTACAAAACACTGTAGGTTAAACTTTTAATTTTTTTTCTTAAATTTTTTATCTTTTAAATCTTTTGATAAATTATTTTTAATAAAATAAATAATAAAAAATAGAACCAAAACTAATAGGTAATTTAAAAAAAAATAAGAGAAAGATAAAAAATAATTAAAATAATAAAGATTAAAGTTGATATAAAAATTAACCTTAAAAAATAAAACAATAATCCAAAATAAAATATATAATAATAAAAAATTTCAAGATTAAATTTATTATAATTAATAAATTACAGGATATTTTGAATTTCTTTCAAATTCAGAAACTATTTTTGTCTAGAATAAAAGAAAAATATTTTTTAAAAATAAAATTAATATATTTTATTGAAAAATATTTTTTTATTGAATATTTTGCTAATAATAATTAAATACTAAAAATATTTTAAAATAAATTTTAAAAAATCACTTTTCATAAAATAAACAAACTAAAAGAAGTTTTGAATCCTTTTTACCTGGACATTATAAATGCCATTCCTTGTCAAAATTGTTTGTTTTCTTTGTGCTTTCAAAACCTTTTCCTTCATAAAATCAAGATTACTAATCCCCCTATTAAACTACTAATGAAATTAAATATTTAATTAAAAATTCCATTACATAACAATTCTTTTTTTATTGTTTTTGTTGATGAATGTACATGGTATGATACAAATTGAAACGTTGATGATAAGGATTCAATGATCACCGGCTGCCATACCCCACACAACTTTCTCCATTTCAACCATGAACATGGAAGGAGCTTTTTACCCCGAAGCCATTTGCCTTTGTTTTCAGGGAAAGGAAAGTAGACAAATAAGAACTTTTTTTATGAAAAAAATAAAATAAAAGGCATTTGTACATTAAAAGTATATGAAACAAAAGTTAGATATAAATATAAATACTTTTAGCATCGGTTATTTTTTATTTACACCTTTTTTTTATTTATATTAGAGGTTAATTTTGATTGTTATGAATTAATGATTTTTATTTTTATAAATTTATTATTTAAATACAATTTATCTATATAAAATAAAAAATAAAAAATAAAAAATTCTAAAAGCATGAATTATAATAATATGGTGAAGTATTATGAGACTACAAAAATAATTCTAAAGATTAATTATCATTATTAAAAAATTAAATTTTAAAAATTAAAAAGAAGACATTAATATATATATATATATAAAGAGCTTCCATTGAGCCGGCATTAGAAAAGTAGAAGAAGAACTATCTAGGCAAGTCACAAGACGTTAAGCAATCCCCAGAAGAGTCCAGATGCATCTTAGCCGTCCAGAATTATCTTGTGGATCCCTATTCCCATCAACGGCGACGAAACTGTTGCCGCGTGTTCCCCTCGCCGCGCTAAAGCGTACCCCACTGTCATTTCAGGCACGCCCGCGTCAAAAATTTACCCTTTTATTTGAAATCTATTAGATTTCCAAGTATGCCACTATCGGACTGCTAATTAATCTGACAAAACTTATTTTTTTTAGTAATTTGAATAATTAAACTTTAGGTTTAATTTTTCTTTTAGATATTTAAATCATACTTGTTAATTCAAAATTCAATTTTTTCTAAATTTTTTATTAATTAAAAGATATATTAAAACTGAGGCTGGTCGTTGTGTTGAAATTGGAACTTATTTAAATTTAATTTGCTACATTATTTTAAATATATTATATCATTGAGTTGACTTTGTAACTTGACTCGTGTCCTTTTCTAAGTTGATTATTCATCGAGTATTAACTATCATTTTTATCTCATTTGTACAATGCATATTATCTATAAATATAGTTAAAAGATTCAACTCAAAAGTTAAGGGTTCTATCAATTTATATTTATATCAAATAATTAAATTAATATTATTTTAATAAAATAATTGATTAAAAATAAAAATCAAACAACTTCATCATGATGAAACAAGCTTTACAACTATACCATCAAATGCGAAACTTATACATAAAAAAGCATTCAATTAAAGGTATATTTATATTTGAGAATGTAGTAGAAATTACTTTTTAAAATATTTTTTATTTAAAAATACATTAAAGTTTTTTTTAAAAAAATATTTTTAATATTAGCATATAAAAACTATTCAAAATATAAAAAAATAAATTGAAACTAAAAAATCTTAAAAATTTCCACTGCAATGTCAAATATAGTCTAAAATAATATAAAGTGTTCTTTTAAAAAAAATCAATTAGGGTGAAATAACACAATATTTCATTCGGGTCCCTAATATCAAATTATTAATCCTAGAGTTTTCAAATTCCTTTAGGTTAAATTGATAACACACTATTTAAACTACCAAATCAAGTGATTTATCTTAATTTTAAAATATTAATCTTGCGTCTTAAATACAAATATGTAAAAATATATTTAAAAATAAATATAAAAGACCGGGTTTTGAATAAAATAGTCTCCTCAAAAATATAATTAGAATACCGTTTGATATTATAGTCGAACTATACTTTAAAAATTTTTGAATGTTTTTCAGCTTTAAATAGGTTTTTATGTTTTTTTAATTGTTTTTAAGGATTGATATTAAAAATAAATGTTTTAAAAATAAAAAAATATATATTTTTAAATGTATTTATTAATAAAATATACTTTAAAAAATAACATCTACTACACTCTTAACGAGTCCCTAATTCCCTTTTTTCAAGTCTTGAATTTTCCCCTTCATTTTTTCACACTTAGCAATTTACTATTTTCATTTACTAGTTTCATTTTTCAAATCTCAGGAGATTAAAAGAGTAATATAGAAAAAATTTAAACTGCAAGGGCCAAAGTGGAATCTCCATCCAGAGGTATGCTAATTTAGATAATATTTGGTATTGCAATAATTTATGTTTTTTTGGTTAAATTACGAAAAAAATTATTTAATTTCAACCTAACCGTGGAAATAACCTAAATGTCAAACAAACAGTCAGAAAAACTTCTTTTCCCCAGTGACCGCGCAGCACGCTACACAGCCCTCCCCCCATAGAAGGACGATACAGTCATAGCAATGGCACGCATAAACCTAATAACAGTCACGTGTTAATGAAGTTACTCGATTAGCGTGTGAAAACAACGGTCTCTTAAGATCCCATGGTTTAAAAACGCACACGTGTCCAATTACCGAACTTAAGTAACCTTGCAGCCACCGGTCATCGCCTATATATACGCCTATTGTTGTAGCCAGTTAGGTTTCAAAATTTGATCACTCAGAAAATAAAAAAATTAAAATCATTATTACCGGCGAAGGAGAAGAGAAGAGAAGAGTTGAGAAAGGGATTTGAAGTTGGAATCTTTGGAAAACAGAAAATTGATTGATTTTATTATCATTATTTTTTCGGTGAATGAAATATGGTGGTAGATGAATCAGGGGTGGTAAGCGTGCCGGTGTTGGATGTTCAATATTTTGCTGCTGAAGGAAGGAGTCCTGCTCATGAGATTGAAGATGTTGTTACTGTTTCTTCTTCCCCGAGAAGGTTAAGTCAAGTTCGCGTCTCCGATTTGATCTCCGCCGAGTTATCCGCCTCCCAATTGGTCAGGTTTCTTCATCATCCTTTTCTTTTTTGCTAGGGTTTGCTTCGTTTGAGAATCTTGAATATTTATTAGTTAAAATTGAGTATTTTCTACTGGCTGTGTGTTGAATTACTGTTTTTTTCTTTTTTTTTTAATATTCATAATGGGTTGTTTCGTCGTGTTTGTAGTCCAGCTGAATCTGAATGAATTTTTCTGCCTTTTTTTAAATTTATTTGTAGGGTACAGAAACATTAATAGAAAAATTATAGAAATTCACTTCTGGGTGTTTCCAATGAATTGCTTTGTTCCTGCTACTATTCGTTAGTATGCTATATAGCAATTTTAATTATGAATTTGATGGGGTGATCTGTAAGAAATTTTTTGGTCAATAATGATTGAAAGAATAATTTTAATTATGCATTTGATGGCGAGAACTGTAAAAATAGATTTTGTCAATGATGATTGAAAGATTTTTAGATTTTGACTAGCTGTGCTGTAGGTGAAAAACTTAATGGAAAATCAAATCCTTTTGCAGGGTATTAAATGTTCAGAAAAAGTTTCAGATGCGGAAGCTATTGAGTCCGCTATCCTGGAGTTTGTTCCTAGTATTCGTTCTGGTAGCTTTGCTGACATTGGGTCTCGAGGAAGATACATGGAAGATGAGCATATACGCATAGATGATCTATCCGCTGAATTGGGCTCGGCCTTTAAGTTTCCAAAGCCCAGTGCTTTCTATGGGGTAATTGTTGATCAAACCTATGGTCGTTGAATATTTATTTATTTGATAGGAATTTATAACTGACTGAGATTGAATTTAATTGCAGGTTTTTGATGGTCATGAAGGACCGGATGCAGCAGCTTATATCAGAAGAAATGCAATGAGAATCTTTTTTGAAGATGTAAATTTCCCTCAAACATCTGAAGTTGACAATAAATTCTTGAAGGAGGTCGAGAACTCCCTCCGGAAAGCATTCCACCAGGCTGATCTGGCTTTGGAAAATGACTGCAGTGTGAGCACTTTTTCAGGGACAACTGCACTTACTGCTTTTGTATTTGGAAGGTATATCCGTGCTCTTGAACATTGTAATATAACCATGTGTATGTGAATGCCTTGTTTTACCTGACCGGAGTTATGTTTTTATTTGTGGATGTGATGTTGGTCAATCACCACTCAGTTTATCTATTATAAATGTTTTATGAAATCCACTATTCTATATCAATCTTCGCATCTAGTCTATGATGTTATGCTAACTATGGTTGTCTTGTTTTTGTCCTCGCACATGATGTTTTACCTGAACCTGTAAGCTTTTGAGTAAACTTCTGATGTCCAATGCGCTGGCTCCACATTGCATGTTACCATTAATGGTTAAGATGGCTCAATACCAGCCTTCCTACATCATCTTTTAAGCGCATTACTATAGTTGACTTTGAAAAAATAGAAACTTTTAAGTGCCTTTTTATTTTGTGCTTCACGTTGATGGTTTTTCAGTGTTTCCTGGAAATGATTTTTTTTTGGTTGCAAGCATCCTGATCATGCTTTCATATTCCAGGCTGTTAATGGTTGCTAATGCTGGTGATTGTCGAGCAGTTCTATGTCGTAAAGGAAAGGCAATCAACATGTCCCAAGACCATAGGCCTATTTATCCATCAGAGCGAAGGCGGGTTGAAGAATTGGGTGGGTATGTTGATGCTAATGGATTTCTTAATGGTTCACTGTCAGTTTCCCGAGCCCTTGGTGACTGGGACAAGAAACACTCTTGGGGTTCTCCTTCACCTCTCATTTCTGAGCCAGAATTCCAGCACCTTGTTCTAACAGAGGAAGATGAATTTCTTATAATTGGTTGTGATGGGATTTGGGATTCTATGTCAAGTCAGCATGCGGTCAGCCTTGTCCGCCGTAGGCTGCGGTGGCATGATGACCCTGAGAAGTGTGCTAAGGACCTTGTCAAGGAAGCCTTGGATTGGAACGCAGTTGACAATCTCACTGTACTTATTGTGTGCTTCTCTTCACCACCTGCACCTAAACAGAGACAAGGGTGTAGCCTCTCTGCAGAGGCATTGTGTAGCTTGAGGAACCATTTGGAACTTAGTGCCAACCGCAGAATGTTATAGAATAATTTTCTAATTTCTCTTGCTGATTAAACAAGGTGTTTTTGGATTCTTGAGTTTCATGATAGAAAAAGCAGCTTGCAGTTTTGCAGATGATGATTTTCAAACAGCAAGCGTTGAGCAGGGGTTGGTGTACATACTGGGGGGTGGATGCTGGTGGTGTAGAGATGCTTTATTAAAATACGTTCTTGATGGATGGATTGGTTTTGGCCTAGCTGCCAAATCTGATATATATTCCATTTTTAATCTTGATATGTATCTGTACAGTTCGAATAAGATTTTCTTATTATTTTCTCTCTCCTTGTCAGCTACTATATGTGCACCGAATTCTTTTGAGACCCCTGTTTAGACATGTACCCAATGCATGGGTTTAAAACCTGTTTTGCATTTTAGAATGAAACATTAATTCCATGTTTCTCTTTGACGAACCCTTGATTCATTAAGTGGCTAGCATACTCAATTCAACTTGCGTTGTAATTTTAATATGCCAACCTGCCCCCCAAGGAGCTTTGACTGGGGAGAATAAATTTTCAGCAAGTATGATGGCGTGCCTGTTTTTGGAAGAGTGATTTAACCTGTATGAAAATTTAATTATTTATTTTGAGAGGGTGCTTCCAAAGAAAGACGTACACAGTAAAGCGAGTTAAAACTTAAAAAGGCTGATTACATCTGTGGGCTCTCCAACGACTCCTTCAGCGATAAGACTTGAGAGTATTCAGATGTTTAACACGTTCGTTGACATAACCTGACTCGAAACCCTCAAAAATGGTATCAGAATGACTTTTTTTTTTTTTTTAATTCTCGTTTGAGCGAGAACCACTGAAGATCAACGCGAGAATTCCAAGTTCCAACCACAGCAGAGTTGTCACTGTTACTATCATATCAACAACGCTTTCCCAAAGCCAACCGGCTAAATCAAAATGGAAGTGGTTAATAAACATGGAAAGCTACTAGTGCTGATGGGGGGGGGTATGAAGACCTGAACCCAAAAGCTCCACAGAGAATTTCGGAATTTTGGTTAGAGCAATATAAGGGCTATAATGGAGATAGAGCTGCATAAGAAACAAGGGTTTTTTGGTTGATACTATCAAAATCAACAGAAGCATCATATGAAAAGTTCCTGTAGGGTTAGTCTTTAAGTTAGCCACCTTTCCATGATCCCCTACAATGAACCCTAATGCAGGTGTGTTAAAACTATTTTTGAAAATTTATAGAATAAAAAATGGGACAACAAGTTGTCTTTTCTTTTGTTCTTAAATACGTCAGTGTTAAATTTAGCAGTTCAGCAGCATGGGTAAGAAGAAGGCACGAAACAGAAGTGTTATTTAAATAACCTACTCTCATTGAAATTAGGGAGTGCTGCCAACGGAAGGAAAACTCATGCTTATAACACGAACTTTTCATTATTTGTGGAATTCAATCATCCAAAGTAAGGTTGTTAATACAATCAATGGCAAATTAATAAGAGAACTTTTCCCTTTTTCAACAGGGAACTATGCTGCCAGTGAAAGAGAATCATATTGATTCTGAAAATTTCCAACTGAAAAAATTGTTGATGATCATTAAACACGAGTTCCAGTTACCCCCTTGGGAGCAGAGGTTTCAGTCAGCCAAAGTGTTTTTTGCGAGTTTCGCAAACCTTTCCAAACCCCCTCTGAGTAAGCTCTCTAGCAAAGGTTGCAGTGCCTGCAAAAATCACAATGAAGTAAAACAGACCAATCCCTCACTGCATTGCAAGTGTAAGGACATATCCTAAAATAAGACAATTTCCATCTTCTTCTCCGCTGAAAACAAGCAGCACGGATGCACAAGCATGCAACGGCACACCCACTTAAAATGCATGTTACTGTTCATTGTATACTTTTTTGCTGGCTAAGTATGTGGTGCTCCTTTCAGAGTAATAAAATAGCATCTCAATGGAAGGAAGAATGCTTACCGTTGCCACAGGAACCAAAAGTTCGGGAACTTCATATGAAACCGTTAGCTGAAAAGGAAAAATACAATTATAAGGGACTGATCTAAGATGAAACCGTTAGCTGAAAAGGAAAAATACAATTATAAGGGACTAATCTAAGTTTTAATTGCAAGAAAAATGAAACATCATGTTCTTTTCCTTGTCATAGACTCACAAAGCCACATATTACAATCACAAGCATGAGAACACATGAATTGTCAGAGACTAGAAAGAGGAAATCTTATCAGATTTATTTTTCTTTCTCATTCTAAGGTTCTTCTTAGAAGTGAAATCACATAAGCCTACTCTGGCAAGTTTTAGAAACCATGCAGAAATGGCAATCTTATCAGAATTATCTAGCAGATCTCTTAAGCAAATTAACAATCCAATTGATCCATTAAACTGAGGGTGATGAACTGTGATTATAATAGTTGGTAATTAATAACCGTGAATGGTGTATCTATGAAGATTGAACTGAATGCTGTATATGGAAGCTCACTTCTACTAGACATGATGAAGGACCTTTAGGAAAAAATCGAACAATGCCTCTGCAAAGTAAGAAAAACATTAATCAACATTCTGTTATCATGCTAAGGAAAATGAAACGACATTGCATTTTGCAAGGCACTCAAATATGAGCAAAACAGTATGACAACTCTTTCATGACATGAATCCCAAGTTATATGGGCATGGATTGGTTCAACAGTATCAACAATCACACATTCCTTACAAGCAATCCGACACTCAAATAGTCAATGCACATGAGATATTCTTCCTAGATAAATTCGTGAAAACCCTACTGAAATTTGTGTTTTCTAACAGCATCAGGTACAACACTAAAACTCATCAACATGTAGCAATGAGAATTTGAAAGACAGATACAAGCAAATTCCCAGAAAAAAATATGACCTGAGCAGGTAATAGAGAAAACAAAGTGATATGATGAACCTACTTCAATCAATTAGATCTATTAATCTATGTCCATACCAGTCCAATTGGTCACCATCCCCCCTCTCTAATATATTTAGGGAGAGTTTCCCAATAGAAAGCCCCAAAAAAAGTGCTTGCTTCAGCATCACTAAGCATCTACTAGACATTTACAAAGATTTATGGCGCCTATGCAGATTCTATATATCGCTTTCATCCAATAATTTAGTCCCAGATGAATTTTTATATTTTCATGAAATACACACACGCACTCGATAATTAGCTATTTACAGCAAGTTATTCAATTTCAAGTCATGTTAGTGTATCAACAAGATTACTTTAACCACGGGCAGCACATACAACAGGTGAGAGTTTTTCCATAATCATGTGATGGTAGTATATTTATGTGGAATAAATTCTTGGACATCTTGAGCTGGAAATTTAGCAAAGGAAATCTCATATTCTCATTAACTAATCATACAATGGCTAAAATGTGTGTTCTTTATTTTCGAGATTACGAGGTAATCGTGAACTTTTGTTACCTGCTCTTCGCAGTTACCTGTTAGGAAGACCTTCAAGAGATCTCCAATGAATTTTCTGATTCGGAGTTGGCTGCAACAAGTTGAACAGAGAATAATAATGAAAGGGAACATAGCTAGGAGACCTCGATTTCACCTCTGATAACGTAGCGAAAGCATCATGCGTCCATGAACAATTAGTGAAAATGTTTCCATACATTACAAAGGATCATTACCTGCATATTTCTAGCAAGCCAAGAGTATTCAATATTCTGACCAAGTGCTTCATACTTCAGTGACCACCGTGATAGGTCGGGTTTGTCTTTGAGTACCTATTAAATAGAATCAAACACCAACTAATCCAAAATGCACACATTTATGGCTATAACACGTTCAAGACAGATCAAGATTTTATCCAGATCATTATACACTAAAATGAAAATTCTTGATTCAAGATGAAATAATGAAGCATCAAAATTGTTGCACACCTGCACGGATGAAATGAAGGGCATCCAACGAGGAATTGATTCACGATCTGAATAAAGATTATAAGCCACCCCAACAGGCACGTCAATCTCCATCTTAACCCTGCATTTAAACTACAGTGTGTTCACAATAATCATTGAAGAACCACTTTCAAGTTTCAACAACAACATCCTCCAGTTCCCAATTATTCCTACAGTTTCACAGCCCAACAAAATTGGAAACAATTAGTTAAAAGCAAAGTACAATGAAACACTACTGGTATATTACGTGCAATCTTGCCACTCCATGACTGGAGAAGAAAAGGGCTTGAACCCAGTAAGAACCGATTTTCTCTTCGAGTAGCCATATCCAAATTGGACTTTACTGATAGATGATGATGGTGATGTGATTTTGCAAGTGGGTGTGGAGTTTGATAAGATTGCCGCGCTCTTTTTTTTAGCGGTTGAGAATTGGCTGTGGCCGAGAGAAGCTGGAGTTGAAAAATGTGCAATGGCCGTTGCGGCAGCAGCAGACATGGTCAATGGCTGATCAGCTGAATTTATTTATTTAGTTGTTTTTTCGTTTTCGGCTGCTCTTTTTATTAATACCAGTAAACAGACTGAAGGATAGAAGAAGTGCACTTGCCTGTCCGAACACCATATCCACAGAGTTTATTATAGGGTGGATTATTCTTTAGTCCCTAGATGTTAATCTTAATTATAATGTAGTCCTTCATTTTATAAACCTCACTACGTCATCCCTTGATTCTTGCTATTCTGACAGTAGCTTTATTAACAGACATGGGTATTTTTGTTAAATCCAATTGTTTTCAAACATGAAATAGTAATATAAAACCACGTTCATGAATCAGGGAGTAAAGAGCAATTAAAAACATATATCATATTGTCAGATTTCTCGGCCTGAAGATACTCTGCCACGGCTTTTTTTTTATTGCCTGCTGTTACAGAATGATTTTCTTGGAGACCGATAGATCGTGCTGAATGTGCTGTCATCCAATCACAATTCACAAAGTTAGAGGAAGCCTTCATCAACTGCTGGCCCAGGTGGCATTGATGTACGAGCAAAATTTAGCAGAGTGTGGATAAAATTTGATTTTTTTAAAATTTAAATTTTTAAATTTTTTTAATATACAAATATCAAAAATCTTTTTTAAAATAAAAAGTAAAATATATCTTTAAATAAAAAATATTTTAAAAAGAAATTATTACTTTAATTTTAAATATCTCTAAAATTTAAATTAATTAATAAAACCGATCTATTTTACATTAATATTAAAAGAATTGACTGGAATGAGTATGGTATCAAAAGTTAATTTTATTGATATTTATATTTTATTCATTGAATTTTAAATATAGATATTCATAACTATTATTTATAATTCAATAAAAAAATAAAATACTTAATATATATATATA